AAGCAAAGGTAACCAAGCACCCTGCACTTGCTGAGGGACTGCACACATGGACGTGAACTGAGAAGACTTTCAAAAGGAAGAGACATGGGTGACAAGAAATCCAACCATCTTCTTAAATGATGAAAGGATACTAGGTAAAGGGAGTACCAGAGGTCTCTCTCCCACAGGAGAGTTTGAAACAGGCAGGTCTAGAAAGAGAATGGAGACAGGGGTTGGGGTCAGCACGAAGGTAAGGTCTGTGCAAATGACTAATGAAGATGGTGGGTTGAAGAGAGGGCAGCCAGTCCTTTGCTGAAAATAGAAGAGATGAGTGGATAGGAGGACAGAATGTGCCTGTGTGTGTCCAGGTGGGGGAGGGGTGGACAATGAGGGGTTTGAAAACAAGAGATGGGATGGCAAGGTAAGCTAGGCATGCAGGGGTAGGTGGCCACATTCCTGCAGTGCTGGAGAGCTAAGCAGCAAATTTGGCATACAGTGTATTGGGTAGAATGGGATCCACACAGATAGATGCCTGTACAGGAATGTCAAGTCCATGACTGGGAAAGAGTCTTCTAGAACCAAGCTTTCCCAATAGTGCTTAGGGAACCCCAGTGATGTGTAGGTTTAAGTGACCACAAGCCTGGGTGGGATGAAGGAGTGCCGAATAGACACAATTGTCTTGCAGTTCCCCTACCCAGACTTCTCTGCTTTCAAGTCAGAGATTTGATTTATGAAGAAAGCTTAAGTTGGAATACGAGGTCCCATATCTAAAATATTGACAATCTTGGTATAACAGTTATATACAGAATATATCATGGAATTCTGGCCTTTGGGGATATGTGCTCTACAAACTTGGTGATCTCTCTCCCCAGGTCCTCATGATGTTTCTCACTAACTGAGAGTATCCTGTATGCACCCATTCCCTAGCACCTGGTGATTCTGATCAACTCTTTCCTCTTAAAGTACGGGGAACTAGGTCGGGCGCGGTGGGTCAAGCCTGTAATCCCAGCACTTTGGGAGGCTGAGGCGGGTGGATCACGGGGTCAAGAGATCGAGACCATCCTGGTCAACATGGTGAAACCACGTCTCTACTAAAAATACAAAAAATTAGCTGGGCATGGTGGCGCGTGCCTGTAATCCCGGCTACTCAGGAGGCTGAGGCAGGAGAATTGCCTGAACCCAGGAGGCGGAGGTTGTGGTGAGCCGAGATCGCGCCATTGCACTCCAGCTTGGGTAACAAGAGTGAAACTCCGTCTCAAAAAAAAAAAAAAAAAAAAAAAAAAAAAAAAAAAAAAAGTACAGGGAACTATCTTATTGATGTTTCAGAATTTTGAAGCATGTCCAGAAAAATCCTGGTACCCAAGACATCACTAAAGGAATCCCACTTTCTATGGATGAGGGATTAAGTTAATTTTCTGCTCAACCTACTTAGAAAACAAGGAAATTAAAATAACAGTGAGATCATATATTATCACCCAAAGGTTTGACCAAAATTTAAAAGGTTGATAAAATAAAATGCCTATGAGAATGTAGATTATTCACATACATTAATATGTAAGAATATGAATTGATACAGCTTTATTAGAACAGAATTTCAGAAATATTAATAAACATTTACAATTATCACATTTTTTCTACTTTAATACAATTTACACTTTGCTGTGTCTTTCCTGTAAGAAAACATGCATATTTGCCCAAGAATTCATGGTCAATGATGTTAATATCAGTTCTACAAATGATAGCAACAAATGGGAAATAACTAATGTGTTCATCTGGAGGAGATTGGTCAAATTATTTATGGCACATACACACTTTAGAATTCTAGGGAGAAGTTAAAAGAGTAAGGTGAATCTATCTATATGTATTCTCACAGAAAGATTTTGCATTTATTTCATTCAGTGAAAATGGCAGGAGAAAAAACACTATGTACACTGTTATCCATCTATGCTATATGTTAAAAACTCATAATGTACTTTTTATAGTATATTATGGAAGGAAAAGCCTAAAATATGTTTTAAAACAACAAACATTATTAATTGTGATTACTTCTGAGGAGAGAGATGAATTTTGATAAAATGCAGTAACTAAGGGGAATTGTGATTTATGCATATTGTTAGAATTTTGGGACAGTGAGAATATCTGCACTATTACTTAAAACCACAATTTTCCTTAGGAGTAAACAGAAAGACAAGGGGAAGTGGAATAATCTTGAATTATTTCTTCTTTTCTTATCAAAGCTAGCACATCTGCCATGGAACCATTTTCTAATCACCTAGAGACTCCTGGGATGTTAGAGATTTAGCCACAGTAGACGTTTGCTTATACACTGATTGCCATGGTCTTTCCTCACTGACTGCCTACGGAGGAGGCTTTGATTTTGGACCACCTAGGTAAGCTCACTAACTGGTGTATGTGTTCAGAGGCCAGTTCAAATAATTAACTCCATTAAAATTTGACCTCAAACCTCAGGATCATTTCCAAAATCTTGTCTCGAGCTTCTGGGTTATAAAGCAAGAATCAGTAGATTCTGTGCCAGATCAGACTTTCCCAACTAGCGGATATGAAAACGCTTTGAGTGTGTTTTCCAGATGCATCCAGAGAGATGAAGAGGTCTCTAAGCTTCACTGTTTTAAGTGAACAGTTACAATACAAGGAAGGGGCTTCTTCTGTCAAGGGGGTCCACAGTAAAGGGCAGGACCTATAGGCAGTTGGAGTGTCGGTTAAGTCTTGGAGAAGGCAGGTGAGTCCGGGCTGTGTGTTCCTCTAGGAGCAGGTGCAGGCTCCAGAGAAGGATGCAGTGCAGCTGACCAGCAGGTCAGTTCCATTTTGGACAGGAAAGCACACTGGGGAAGACCCAGAGGAAGGGCATAGTAATGTGGGAAAGTGCTGGACTGAACTCATGTGAAAGGACCAGGACAGAGTCAGCCCTGGAAGAATCTGGGGCTAAGAGAGGGAGGACTTCAGGCCAACGAACCCCATAGACAGTCCCAGATAGTGTCTGATTGCCATTCTCCCTTTCCTTTTTTTCAGACCTGCTTTTAGTGCTTCAGTCACAGGATCTTCATTTTGATTGTCTGAGAGACATCTTGGAGTACTGAGAAGAGAAATGAATTAATAGACCCAAATCTGCCTCAGGCTGGGAGGAATGGAACAGTGTGAGTTCCAGAGGAATTCAGACCAGGAGTCTAGTCCCATCCTGTCACTTACTAGCTGTGTGAAGTAGACACATTACCCAATTCTATGAGCATTGATCTCTTCATTGGTGAAGTGGGTTTGATAAGCCCTGTCCCCTAGGACTGTTGGACTGTGTTATGTGTGACGTATGTAAAGCACCTGGCACAGTGACTGGTGTGCATTGAGACATTAAAGAGTGACATTTATTACCATGATTTTTTTTTTTTTTTACCCTAGGTGATACCATCTCTTCAACTGGGATATTTTTGGTTATGGTTTTGTTTTTTAATCCACAAAAAATGAATGTCTATGAATATCCAGTGCTGTAGGACACAGAACACCAAGTGAGCCAAAAATTCTGTCAAGAAAGAAAGGAAAGAAATTTGGAAAGAAAGGAAAGAAAGAAAGAGAAAAAAAAAAAAACCTCAGTAAGTCTTCCTCCTTCAGGGTATATTTAATTTGAATGTTGGAGAATTCTCCCCATCTGGATGCAACTCAGTGTTTCTGGAATATATGTCAAAATCCAACTCTTTCCCTCCCTTCCACTTGCCCTTTGATCCAAACCACCGCTTATTTGTCATTCATGTAGTTTCTATCAAAATATAGCCCTCCCTTAATTTTCCAAATTATACTGAAGTTAAACTATACCTAGTTAAAATGCCCTTTGAATGGACTCCCCAACCAAGGCAAAAAGTGCCAGCACAATGGCCTCTGGGCATCCCACCTGCCTTGAGGGTATCATCCCTATTTCTCAGAAAATGGCTGGAGATGAAGTGCATAGAACACATAGTTTTTGCACTGGGACAATAGCACAGGCTATTTTTCCATCCCTGCACTAGGTGGAGAGCTGCTTAAAGTCAAAAGCTAAAGGCAATTTTCCATTCCAGACTGTCTCTTAACTCTGAGACACACCACCAAGGATCCTGCCCCTCTCACCACTCCATCTGCTCCTCTGATCCACCATGCAGCTTAACTTAAAATTACCTCCCATTGGGGGACTTGAAGTTTTCTAAAGTCCCAAATTGCCTTGCCTCGGGGCATTTACATTTGACTACTCACTTCTGGACCTCCCCTTTTCCAGCTCCCTCCAGCATGCCTTTTTTTTCATTTGTCTTTTATGTCTTATATGGTATCTCTCCGTCTTCCTTATATGATAGCTGTTACTGACTAAAATTTTATGGACAGTGGTTTGGATTTCTTTTTTTTAATTTTTTGATTTTTTTATTTTACCATCCCCGGTACCACCAGGGAGCTTTCCAAAAAGGAGATGTTCAACTAATGTTTGAGGAATAAAAACCTAGTGAACAAGAGGTCAAATTTATTAACTCTTTAATGCTTTCTACATTTTTGAATAAGCAAAGAAAATCCGGTACGTAACTTCTATTTTACAGAACAACAGAAGAAACAAGTGAATGCAAGAGTTTACCATCTTTAACTTTTTTCTCTATTTTTTAATCCCAACTATTTTACTGCTGATTATTTCACATTTCTAAGGAAATGCCTATTTCAGTGTCATGTTTTCTTGCTCCAGATCACTAAATAAGATGAAAAGTTTCTCAATTTGTTTTAACAGATAAAAAATCCTCTTAACTCTGAAGCATCATAAACAGCATTAAATATGTAGCAATATTATTCATACAGCTAGATTTTAAAGCTAATTAACATTTTTATAAAATAAATAACATTTAAAAACTTTCAACAAAAACAAAAGATAAGGGTACAAGTTTCTCATGTAGGACAGGAATGCAGGTATAATTTGTACTATATTCCCTTTAACCCCGCCTGGGCCCGAACTACTTAAAAGATTGAGTGTTCTCTTCAAACTGAGGAAAGGGCTTCAGACTCCTCTAGGAGTGGGAGAAGCAGCCGCTGGAATTGACCCCGCAACCTGCAGTGGCCGTGGTACTAGTAGGAAGCATAGCAGCAAGTCTGGCACAGACTCGCTCTTCTTCATCTCGCAAAGCTTCTTCATACAAAGATGGAAAGGAACTGGGGACAGTATCATGGATCTTGGCCAATAGCTCGAGGACTCTCATCTTGCTCGTTTCTACATGGGCTCTGGGACCCCACAGAAATTCATAGTGCACAGGATCATTGTTGGGTACCTGCCAGGGCACCAGGTATCTTTCTTTTAGGAAATCTTGGGTGATGAGCTTCTTGGGCTCCCCATAGAAATAGTAGTTCTCTCTGGCATCTATCTCCATTACATTAAGCACTTCCAAGATATCTTCCTCAGTGGCACAGTTGCTCTTCATAAAGATCACACCCAGGATAGTCACCAGGAGGCCAGTCTTGGGCATGATCTCCTGACCACTCAGCCTTGCATCACAGGTGCGATTCAATTTGCTGAGAGGACATAGTAGTGCCTGGCTGGATCTACTTCCTTCACATCAACGCCGAAGGCCGGCACCATGAGCTCAGAGGCTTTCTTGAGAATCTCATGGAAGTGCGCCTTGTCGTTTTTGATGACAGACTTTAGCATGTCAGGCTTCGTTATGGGCTCCCTCGTGTTGTACTTGTGCAGCAGGAACTGCACCAACAACATTGCCTCTGGGGTAGGTTTTCCCATCAGATTTCCACCCTGGGTATCAGAGGAGGAGAAGTAGGGAATTCTCTTGGCTTTTTCATTAAAGACTTTGTGGGAAATAGCAACTCCCTGAGAGCTCTGGGTCGTTTCCATACTGAAAACCTTGAGAATGGGTCAAAGTCTCAGGCTAGATACATAGGGGAAGCTGCACCACAAAACAGCATTCCAGCTTTGGGTGGTTAATAAGCACAGCTTCTAGAATCATGCTGTTTCAGCCAACCCAAAACTTTTGTGCTGTCATGATATTCTCATATGGTACTGGCACACAGGGTCTGAGGTGCCATCTCAGATTGTATTATTCAGTGAAACAGGATAAATTCATTGTCTCAAGGCACACTGGGAAGAAGCATGGATCAAACTTCAAAACCTTTCACCCAACTAATTCTGTCTTCTGCTTCTGTTTCAAGCTACAGACTCTGTTTCCACTTGAGGGTATGCCCCACCTGTTTCCCACATATAAGTAATAGTTCAACTCAGATTTTTTGTCCCTCAAGAATTTCTCATTTTTATTTCATTGCTGTTGTTGATACTGTTCTCTCATTCTTTCTATAGTTTCTCCAGGGTTGATTTTGGAAAATACCAGCCAAATTCTGGTTGCCGAATGCTAAATGTAAGGTAGTGTATTAGTCTGCTCAGGTTGCCATAACAAAATAACATAGACTGTGTGCCTTAAATAACATATATTTTTTTAAACCCAGACATTTATTTACCTCAGGCTTTTGGAGGTTAGAAGGCTAAGATGAAGGTGTCCTCAGTCTTGATTTCTCTTCTTGGATAGCAAGTAGCTGCCTTCTTGCTGTGTTCACACGTGGCTTCTTCTCTACATCCTTGCAAAAAGAGATCTTTGGTTTCTCTGCCTTTTCTTAAAAACCAGTCTTTTTGGATTAGGGCCCTACCCTTATGACCTCATTTAAGCTTAATTATCTCCCTAAATGTCCTATTTCCAAATAAAGTCAAATTGGGAATTAGGGCTTCAAAGTAGAAATTTTGAGGAAGATACAATTCAGTATGCAGCTGGCAGTAAATCTTCTAAATAATTTAATGAAGGTTGGCATCTTTAAAACATTCTTTTCCCCATAAGTAAACATAAGGTACTGAGCTATTATTTGGGATTTTTATAGTTGCCTTCAAAAAGATTGTGCACATTTTTGTTAGCTTTCTTTTTAGGCAAATTTTGGATATTTGCTGCCATTGTGGTTGAGATGTTTTCTATTATTTGTTCTTATTACTTACTGATTTTGTATGGCTAGTCTCCTCAGTTTGCCATAGTGATATATACAACAGCTTTCTGAAGTCTGTTATTTGTTGAGTATTTTGTGCACTGGTTCCTGTGGATTTTCTAATTAGAAGAGCATATTGTCACCATTTATTATCTCTATCCTTTCAATATTCATACGTTTTATTTTAATATTTTTATTGCTCTGGTTATGTATTTCAGTTCGCTTTTAAACAGTAAAGATGCTACCATACATCTGTGTCTTGGTCCTCATTTTAATGGGGATGCTTTTAACACTTCACATTTCTGTAAGTTTTCTGTAGATTTTAGGAAATGGAAATCCTGTTCTAATGTTATTTTGCTACATATATATATATATATATATATATATATATATATATATATATAGTGAATCCATGTTAAATATTTTTTTCTGAAGGCTTTTTCTATACTCCTGGAAATGATCAAATGCTATTCTCCTCTAATCAATCAAGGTAGATAAATCCCAATCAACCATTTTTTTCTAATATCATTTTTGCTTTTCTTGGATACAGCCAAGTTATTCACTCTTCCATTAAATATGTTATGAATTTATTTAGGATAGATGCCTATATGTGAGTGAAACTGGCTCATGTGATCTATTCCTGGGGTGTCCTTATTTAGTCTTTGTATTCAATAAAACTACATACCAAACAAAAGAACATGAAACAAAACAACAAAAGCAATGATTACATGTCAAAAAAACATTTAAATCCAAGTTAGACTTTAGATTAGTTAATATTATATCAATGTCAATTTCTGAGTTTCCATAATTGGACTATTATGTAAGTTGGTATCTTCAGAGGAAGGTTGGAGAAAGGTGCATAGTAACTCTCTGTACTATGGTTGCAATTTCTACTAGTCTAAAATAATATCAAACTAAAGAATGTAAGGATTTCTGATTTTAGCACCAGCATATAAAGGGCTTAGGCGTTATCTTGCTTCTCTTTACAACAAGAAATAGCTGGAAAAATGGAAAACCAAAGACTTTCCTTGGACCCAACAGAGAACTGAGGTCAAAGAAGTCACAGAGCAATTTGCTACCCTGAAATCTGAAGAGACAGGCACATTCAAATAATCACAGTTATTTGTTTACCTGGAGCAGAAGCTACTGAAAGCCATAACGGTGGAACCAATTAGTTCATCAGTAATATTCACAAATTGCTATAGGTTGAATGCAGACTAGTGTGAGATTGCAAAAACTCCTAGGGGTTACTATCACAGAAGGTGCCACACTAATGCAGCCTTTCCCTCCAGGAATCCCACCAGGTTCTCATAATAAGGATCTGAGAGAAATCCCCTGGTGGTTTTGGCAAGGGGAAGGAGAATAACCATTATATAATCTTTCCCAATCCTTCCATATTACAGAAGTCTATTCTCCAGACTAACACAGAAACCTTATTCCACCTAAGGAAATTAATTTCCACCCTACTATAGCTCCTTTCAGCCTTCTTATCTTATGTAATAATAAAAAAAACATAGTCAACATGGGACAAAGATTCAAAAAAATAGATTGGTAATGATGCAGCCAGGTAAGGAAGCAAAGGGTTGGAGCCAGTGGGTGGGGGTGTTATACTCTTGGAGGAGGGACAGATTTGTGATCATTACGCCTAAAAGCAGGATTACTAAAATACTAAGATTTAATTTTTAAAAAAATTATAGAACACTTTCTTTTTCCCACAACCTACCACCACAGAAACAAGCCTCCAGTGTAGTAACAGTGGATTACAGCTGAAAGATCTGCAAAACACAGCTGCTCTCTGAGGACCTATGCAAAGAGAAACCCTAAATCAAAGAGAGGAGAAAAAAATCAAAGACACTAGAGAAATGTGAAGCCTCTGGTACCTATACTACAACAAATATTAAACACAAGCCAACTCTTAACCATGTTAATATCAATCATCACACTAAAAGCATATGTTCTCTAGTACCTAACACTGACATATGTCTGGCTTTCAACAAAAAAATTATAAGCATACCAAAAAGCAAGAAAGGAAACAATCTGAAGGGTCAAAGCAGTTATCAAAACCAGACTTAAACATGATACAGATGTTTAAATTATCAAACAAGAAAACTTAAATAGGTATGATTAGAATTTTAAGGATTCTAATTGAAAAAACATAACATGCAAGACCAAATGGGTAACGCTGGCAGAAATGGAGACTTTAAGAAAGAATCAAAAATAAATGCTAGCAATAAAAAACTCAGCAAGAGAAATGCAGAATGCTACTGACAGGCTTATTAGTTAACATAACACAGCTGAAGAAAAAATTACTACACTTCAAAATAGGTTAGTAAAAACCTCACCAAATGAAACAGAAAGGGGAATAAAAAGAATTAAAAATTAACAGAACATCCAATAATCATGAAACAATATAAAAAGGTATAAATACAGGTAATTAGAATGTCAGAAGGAAAATAAAGAATGGGGCAGAAAAAATACTTGACATGATACTGTCCAAGGATTTTCTATCATTAGTGAAAGACACCGAAGGATAGATGCAGTCAGCTCAGAGAACACCAAGCAAGAAAAATAGCAATATTAACAAATTACCCCTAGGATATCATATTTTAATGCCAGAAAACAAAGACGAAAAAATATGAAGAAAGTAGACTGGAATTCCTTTCCTACAGAAAATAAAGCTTAAAATTACAGCAAAATTCTCATCAGAAATCAGGCAAGCAAGAAGAGAATAACAGGAAATCCTTAAAGTGTTAAAAGAAATAAAAGTGCAAACCAAGAATTCTATATCTAACACAATTATCTTTCAAAGGAGATGGAAAAATAAAGACTTTCTCAAACAGACAAAAACTGGGGCAATTCATTGCCAGTATACCTGCTGTGCAAGATGTTAACTTCATCATGCAGAAGGAAACTGATATAGGTCAGAAATGTGGATGAACACAAATGAGCATCAGAGAAGGAATAACTGGGGGTAACATTAAATGTTTTTTTTTTAACATTCTTAACTTTGAAAATTATTTCTTTAAAACAGTAATTATAACAATGTATTGGCTGATTATAGAATATGCATAAGTGAAATGAATGACAGCAATGTTACAAGGGATGGAGGGAGAAACTGGAAAGAAACTAACTGTTATAAGGAATGTATACTACACATGAAACAACATAGTGTTATTTGAATATGGGCTTAAATTATTTAAAAACATATATTGTAGACCCTAGGAAAACCACTGAAAAAAATTTTAAGTATGAAATATTTTTCAGAAGATATTAAATAAAATCATATAAAATGCTCAATTATAACCAGAAAATGCAAAAAAAAAAAAAAAAGAAGAAGAAGAAAGAAAGAAAGTAGATAAAAACAAACCAAATGCAACAGATAGAAAACCATTATAAAAGAATGGATTTTAAGCCTGGGTGTGGTGGCTCACACTTGTAATCCTAACACTTTGGAAGGCCGAGGCAGGTGGATCACTTCACCTCAGGAGTTTGAGACCAGCCTGTGCAACATGGTGAAATGCCATCTCTACAAAAAATACAAAAATTAGCTGAGAGTGGTAGTTCATACCTGTAGCCTCAGCTACCTCGGGGACTGAGGTGGGAGAATCGCTTGAGTGCAGGAAGTAGAGGTTGCAGTGAGCCAAGATCACGTCACTGCACTCCAGATTGGGGGATAGAGTGAGATGCTTTTCATACAACTATATTAATAATCACTTTAAATGTGAATACTCCAAACAGAATATCTGAAAGACAAAATTTGTCAGATTGGATACAAAAATAAAAAAGATTGAACCATATGATGTTGATAAATCTACTTTGTATATTAACACTTGGGTTAAAAGGGGTAAGGAATTTTTAGGGCAGTGAAATAAT